AGCTTACGAGTCATCTGCTTTAGGCTACATGTTTGGGAATTATACCACGGAGTCAGGTACTTCTGATTTGAGACCTTACAGGAGCTACAGTATCCAGAGTCATATGTAGTGAGGAGGCAAAGTTATTAACAAGATAATCAACCTCTGTTGGAGTAGCGTTGCTCTGCTCTGTGTTGGTGCAGGGCCTTGAACATGATAACAGTGGGTGAATTATATTCTTAAACTTAGTTACAGCTTTCAGAAAGACATCTACTGTGATGAAGTCTACTCCCCACTGCTATTTAACACTGTTAAATGTAAAATTTTTATTCCATATGTTAAAACAAGATCTAGAGTGTGATTAAAGTGGTGGGTGGGTTCTCTTACATTTTGAGAGAAGCCAGCTGTGTCTAATAACAGATTAAATGCTGTGTTGAGGCTGTCACTTTTACATCTACATGGAAGTTAAAATCACCCACAATAATTAATTTATCTGAGCTGAGCACTAAATCAGGTAACAAGTCTGAGAAATCAGACAGAAACTCTGTGTGAGGCCCAGGAGGATGCTAGATGATAACAAATAAGGCTGTTTTTTGAGTTTTCCAGCTGGGGTGGACAAGGCCAAGCATTAGACTTTAAAATGAATTAAGTCTGTTTTGGTCTTCAGTTGATTAACAAGCTGGTGTGGAAAATTGCTGCCACACTGCCCCCTTGGCCTCTGCTTCGAGGATTCTTATAGTTAGTATGACTCAGGGGTGTTGATTCATTTAAACATAGGTTTCTGTAAGGTGGAGTATTTGTTGATCAATCTCTAACAGCGACTTGGAAGAGAGACCTAATGTTTAATAACCCACATTTCACTGTTTTATTCTTTGGTGCTGTTGATGATACTGTGTTCCTTTTTCTTTGTGATTTTTTAAAATGTCTAAGTCATTTTTTGATGATTTTTATCTGTTTTTTTGTCTGTTTGGGAGCAGAGATAGTCTCTAAGCGGATGGGGTTTTGGGGTGATAACAGGAGGAGAGAAGCATGAGAGTATGAGAGATGTTAAGGCATATGGTGAAATAGATGGTGAAATTAGGAGGAAGTTAGATAGTGCTGTGGTGTCATGAGTTATGGTTTGAGGCGAGGCATTCACATGCTTTATCAGATGCTACCCATCCTGTTATTAGCTCTCAAAAGCTCCATACTCAACCATCTCTAGAGTTACAGGGGGAGATTTGTGTAACTGCAGTAGTCGCAGAAAAAGAACCAAGACACTGACTTTGCACAGGGACAGGCATCTGGTGACAAGGGAGCATTTTAAATTAGCTTCTTCTATTTTCAAAGAATTTGTGCTTTACAGAACACAATAAACTCAAATCAAAAACAAATCAAAATCATAAACATAAAAAATATAAATAAATAAATAAATTTTGAAATATTTCCTAACTGCAGACAGCACAAGTGCATGAATTTGGTAATTTATGTCAAAACACATTTATTTTTTATTAGATAGTTGGCATTGATGTTAATTGATATTGCTATTTTATTGTGTGTTATTTTATTGTGTGATTTGTATGTTTGTACAGCACTTTGGTCAACACCACTTGTAGGAGCCATAATTAAATGTATTGAATTTTGTTGATCACTGGGTTTTCATTTGTTTGGTTGCTATGGTGATGCGTAACGGGAGTCACGTGGGTGCTAGAGGTGACATTAAGAGGGCGTTGTCAGTCTGTCTGTCATTCACTGGTTTTGATTTTGACAGAGAGGAGGGCTGGGTAGCCGTAGTTTTTTGTTGACCGCTGCACAACGAGTTTCCCCTTGTTGCATCAGAGCCTGTGATGTTTTAATAGTCTGAATCAGGAGCCGATCACATTACTCTGTAAACTCTCAAAGCACTTTAATAAACAAGCAAGCAATTCCACCTCTCGCATTATTGCGTAAAGTTGACAGCGTGTCGGGCAAATAGGCAGGCTCCATCCCCGGCCTCTAGCGACTGTGGAAGTCGCTACACCACTGTTGTAATTAAAAGTGATGTATAAATAAAGAAATAGAAATATGCAGAGAACATGCAAACGCCACACAAAAAGGGCTGAGCTAACCAGGAACCTTCTTACTGGTGTTACCCACTTCAGTATCATATATGATTTCGGTATAATCAGCACTGGAATCAGCACATGTGTTGCATGAAAGAGAAGGACTGAACGATCAATTTCTTTGAAATTGAAGTTACAAATTGAGACAATGAAAAATTAACAATTTAACTATATATTATTTAATTATATATTTCAATTCTCATTCTTGCATTAAAATATAGAGCGTGCACAACGTTTTAAATCTCTCATAAGTGAAGCTTGTGTTTAAAAAATTATATTATTCATCCAGACCAAGAAGAAAAAGTAGTGTAAGCTCATCTTCATTAGTATTTGTGAGAGGATGTCAGACATGCTTTTACACTGTGAGTTGAGGTTTTGTGGTGAGATATTCACACATTCATCATCCACACTCTAACTCACCCTGACAACGGACAGACACCTACCAGCTTGCACAAAGACTCAGTAAGTAACATATTTGTCTCCCTCTGTTTCTGTCCTTTTGATGTACAATTCAGATGTTTTTTCCTTAAATTTTTTCATACACCACCCTGTTTCTGTTTAAAGGAACCACTAAGAATGGTTTTGTGCAGGGTGCAGAGACGTTGGAGTAAATGATTAAATAAATAAGAAATGGATATGTATCCAGCATATGCTGGATATGTTCTTAGTGCTTATTTTCTGATTATAGTGTTTTATGTATTTTAATAATAAAGGCCTGTATAAAGGAAGGCCAGCTTTGACTCACAAACCAAGTGCTCAGCCAGACTAAAAATAAAGGAAGAGCTGCAGAGGCATATTAATAAAGAACAGGAAACCAGACAGAAAAAGCAGAACTAAGTAACACAGAAGTAGTTGTTTTTATCTAAACTATGTGTGACGTGTAAAGGACTATATGCTAGAGATCTGCAAAATGGCTTTGGGCTGTGCATGTCTCTCTCTTCCAGAAGATGATTAAATAAAATAATTATAAATATTTTGACTAACTGAGTCGTGTTCTCTTTTCAGTAAAAGAATGACAAGAACCAGATTTAATAGTATGTAGATATGTACAACAGAACAAAAACAGCATATGCAGCATGCTTTGATTCAGAAGCGGGTATGGTGGATGATTCAAATACAGACACTATGTGAGTGTTCTAAGTGTTCATCAAACTAATGGCCTGTATGTAAAGATGTCTGGTTGTTTTGACGTACAGTTCTTTACATATGTCCAGTTACAGTGGGGCAAAAAAGTATTTAGTCAGCCACCGATTGTGCAAGTTCCCCCACCTAAAATGATGACAGAGGTCAGTAATTTGCACCAGAGGTACACTTCAACTGTGAGAGACAGAATGTGAAAAAAAAAAATCCATGAATCCACATGGTAGGATTTGTAAAGAATTTATTCGTAAATCAGGGTGGAAAATAAGTATTTGGTCAATAACAAAAATACAACTCAATACTTTGTAACATAACCTTTGTTGGCAATAACAGAGGTCAAACGTTTACTATAGGTCTTTACCAGGTTTGCACACACAGTAGCTGGTATTTTGGCCCATTCCTCCATGCAGATCTTCTCGAGAGCAGTGATGTTTTGGGGCTGTCGCCGAGCAACACGGACTTTCAACTCCCGCCACAGATTTTCTATGGGGTTGAGGTCTGGAGACTGGCTAGGCCACTCCAGGACTTTCAAATGCTTCTTACGGAGCCACTCCTTTGTTGCCCGGGCGGTGTGTTTTGGATCATTGTCATGTTGGAAGACCCAGCCTCGTTTCATCTTCAAAGTTCTCACTGATGGAAGGAGGTTTTGGCTCAAAATCTCACGATACATGGCCCCATTCATTCTGTCCTTAACACGGATCAGTCGTCCTGTCCCCTTGGCAGAAAAACAGCCCCATAGCATGATGTTTCCACCCCCATGCTTCACAGTAGGTATGGTGTTCTTGGGATGCAACTCAGTATTCTTCTTCCTCCAAACACGACGAGTTGAGTTTATACCAAAAAGTTCTACTTTGGTTTCATCTGACCACATGACATTCTCCCAATCCTCTGCTGTATCATCCATGTGCTCTCTGGCAAACTTCAGACGGGCCTGGACATGCACTGGCTTCAGCAGCGGAACACGTCTGGCACTGCGGGATTTGATTCCCTGCCGTTGTAGTGTGTTACTGATGGTGACCTTTGTTACTTTGGTCCCAGCTCTCTGCAGGTCATTCACCAGGTCCCCCCGTGTGGTTCTGGGATCTTTGCTCACCGTTCTCATGATCATTTTGACCCCACGGGATGAGATCTTGCGTGGAGCCCCAGATCGGGGGAGATTATCAGTGGTCTTGTATGTCTTCCATTTTCTGATGATTGCTCCCACAGTTGATTTTTTCACACCGAGCTGCTTGCCTATTGTAGATTCACTCTTCCCAGTCTGGTGCAGGTCTACAATACTTTTCCTGGTGTCCTTCCAAAGCTCTTTGGTCTTGGCCATGGCGGAGTTTGGAGTCTGACTGTTTGAGGCTGTGGACAGGTGTCTTTTATACAGATGATGAGTTCAAACAGGTCCCATTCATACAGGTAACGAGTGGGGGACAGAAAAGCTTCTTACAGAAGACGTTACAGGTCTGTGAGAGCCAGAGATTTTCCTTGTTTGAGGTGACCAAATACTTATTTTCCACCCTAATTTACGAATAAATTCTTTACAAATCCTATCATGTGAATTCATGGATTTTTTTTTCCATATTCTGTCTCTCACAGTTGAAGTGTACCTCTGGTGCAAATTACTGACCTCTGTCATCATTTTAAGTGGGGGAACTTGCACAATCGGTGGCTGACTAAATACTTTTTTGCCCCACTGTATATTAACCACACAGCAACCCTTCTTTGATGTGTCATTTTTTGATAGTTAATGTACATTTAAGGTGCCATTTAACTTCATTAATAGTAAAACCTTCTTTTTTGTTCCTTCCAGAGATGGCAAGCTGGGTCTCCACCCTCTTCTTCCTAATCTGGTTGTCAGTCTCTCAAGCCCAAGGGGGGAGTGGAAAAATCCCCACTGTGGAATTCATCTCTGAAACCCTGATTAACAATGTGGTCCAGGACCCACAGACTGGTCGCATCTACCTGGGAGCAGTCAACAATATCTTCCAGCTGAGCCCGTCCCTCCAGAAGGAGGCCCGCACTGAGACGGGCCCAAAAAAAGATGCCAAAACATGTACACCTCCTGCTTCAGGCTGTCAGGACACAGTGCTCATGCCCAACAGCAACAAACTTCTGCTGGTCCACCCATCCAATGGTTCACTAATAGTATGTGGCAGTCGGTACAGAGGCATATGTTCCCTCCTCAACCTGTCTAATGTAGAACAAGAGTTGTATTACAATGACAACAAAGGACAGCGGACATACGTGGCTAGCATAGAGGATAATGTGAACGTGGTGAGCGTCATGTCCAACTACACAAAAAATGGCCGGACCTTCAAAGTGTTCCTTGTTGGAAAGGGCTATGGAAGCCTGGACAGTGCAAAACTAATCAGCACACGAATCCTTGAGGACTACCAGGACTGGGTTGTGTTTGAGAACATCATTGAGGCATCAGCTGATGGATATAATCAGTGCATGCTACAGTGACTCTGGGGAGATTTCTGGGGTTCCTGCTGTGGACGTACCCTACTCATCTCAAGCCTACACAGTATGCACTTCAAAAATTTCTGTAAGTGCTTCTTTGTCAGCTGACTCTAATTTAAAAGAATGTTTTGAAAAACTCAGATTAGTATAATCTTTAATGCAGTTATCACTTTTTATTATAAAATCTCAACATTTAATTCGTTCCCTGGATAACTTGTAATCTGACCATGGTATTAATTGTAATGTAATTCTATAAACTGAGTGAGATAAGCTGCTTCAGGCCATATAGATGTATAGTTAGGTCCATAATTTGTTGGAGAAAGACACAATTCTTGTAGTCTCTGTACACCACCACAGTGGATTTTAAATCACACAATCAAGATGTGGCTAAAGTGCAGACTTTCTTCTTTAATTAAGGGGTTACACAGTTTTTTGGTTTTGTTTGTTTAGCATTTGTCTGAGTCTAAGCAGAGAGTATAGCCCTGTGCACTTCACATTTCATCCTTCTGTTTCTGTTTCGATCAGCAGTCACAGTAATCAGACAATAGTGACCCAGTTTCAGTGGCAGCGATACATGCCCAATCTGATCATGAGCTGTTTCTCTCCTCTCCATACTTTAAGAATATTTTTTGAGAGCTGTAAAGGTTCTTTCAGATTTTCTTTGGCAAAGTTTAATCTGATCCTCTTGTTATTGAGTGTCACCAATAGTTTGAACCTTGTTGTATTCCCATTCATGGAGGTGTCTTGACAATGATATGTCTACCTCACCTGGGTGTTTTTGACTTAGATATTATGAAGCTGTTTTGCTTATCTATGGAAATCATTTTTTCAGGTCTTTATGTGTTGCTGAGCTGGCCATTTCATTCCTTATTTTTTAAGAAAGTACCAGATTATTAATTTCTTTACTCCTGAAGTTTTTATTATTTTTGATTCTGATTTATTTTTTCAGCTGAATGTTAGCCTATCTCATTTGCACTGACATGTATTTGGGCTCTAATTCCCAAATAAATTTTGGCGAAGATTTGGTGAAATGCCTTGAGTTAAAGCTTAAATTTAACTTCAATCACTTATTGATTATTTGATTTAGAACCAGCCTTTGTGGTGTAGAAAGACAAAACCACCAAAATTACGCCTTTGTTGAAGTTATGGGCCGAACTTTAATATGGATCACTCTCCTCTCTCCATGTACTAAATACACTTGTCAAATTTGGCGGTCTATTCATGTTTTAAAATTTTCCCTTTGCTGCCTCTGACATGTCAAGACCGCTGCTACCCTGCACCACTGGTTGATATTTTAGCTGTTTCACATCTCCAGCTCCCACCATAGGGTCTGCAGCTGTAGGGTATTTACTTTAGAGAGACTGAGCTTAATACCGAGATCAGTACCTACTCAGAAATACTTGAAGTATTCCATGAACAATTTTAATATGCCAAAGACTTTTTTAGTTATGGCCCAACTTAACTGGTTATTTTACATTTTTTACTTAGAATAGAATAGAATTCAACTTTATTGTCATTGCACATGCACAGGTACAGGGCAACGAAATGCAGTTTGCATCCATCCAGAAGTGCTTTAGTGATATAGATATATTACAATATATATTAGCAATAATATAGATATGTGAGTATATTACAGAAATGGGTCTATTATGGTATGTTATAATGTACACGGTATGAAGTATGTTGTGAATATTCTATAACTATAAGTATGTACAGGCTGTAGTGAGTACAAGCTATGTACAGGATATGAACAGGATATAAATATGAAAAACTATACAGAATATGAAATAAATAACTTTACAGAATCTGGGATACACAGCTATACAGAAATGGGAACTATGCAAGTTGTAAACAGTTGTAGGATTAAAAATTATCGAATGTACAGAATGATTATTTACACAGAGCTATACAGTAGTGCAGTTAAGATAAGTGAGGGTGTAGATAGTTTCTACAGAGGCTATATAAAGTGCTAGTGGTTGTGAGTGGTGGTTCAGTCCATGTTATTATTGTGTTTGAGGGTACAGTTGTCCATTGTGGGTGTGTGTATGTTCAGTCCATGAGTTTAACGTGGGTCAGATGTCAGGAGGCAGAGTTCAGGAGTCTGACAGCTGTGGGGAAGAAGCTGTTCCGGTACCTGGTGGTCTTAGTCCGGAGGCTCCTGTGGCGCCTCCCAGAGGGCAGGAGGGTGAAGAGTCCATGTGATGGGTGACTGGGGTCTTTGATGATTTTCCCAGCCCTTTTCAGACACCGCTTCCTGTAGATGTCTTTTATGGCAGGAAGTGGTGCTCCGGCGATGCGCTGGGCAGTTTTCACGACCCTCTGCAACGCCTTCCGGTCTGAGGCAGAGCAGTTCCCGTACCAAACTGTTATACAGTTGGTCAGGATGCTCTCGATGGTGCAGCGATAGAAGTTCAGCGATACTTGCATGTATTAGTAGTTTCTTGTTAAGTGATCGTTAACACGAGTTTTCCTATTGTTCTCGTCTCAGACTTCCAACTCTAAAGCAAATACTTACTTGTAATTTTTATTCATTATTTTAATTCATTATTGTAATCAAAGAAATGATCAGTCAAAACAAAGCCAATTTTAGATTGTAGATTAAAATAGTCGAGTGTTCAAAGCACATTTCCCATCTCTGTTATAAAGTTTAAGTAGGATACGAACAGTACTGCAAAGACAGTTAATGTTATTGGAGTGAAAAGCAAGCAATGTCTGATCGTCCCTTCTTGTTATCCTTTCCCTTTACAGAAGGATGCATTGGGAAACTTCAAGTGTGGTGCAGAGTATTTGCCTTCGCCTCTGGCAAGCAAGCCAGCATTTGCCTTAAAGGCAGATGCAGCGTTGACCATGTCGGTCCATCTGACTGCTGTAACTGTTGCTGTGGAGAATGACCACACGATCGCCTTTTTGGGCAGCGCCAACGGAGAGGTCTTCAAGGTTGAGTTCTCTTGTGGTTTTTTTTGTTGGATATTTTTTTCCTCAGTTTAAACTTTTATCTGAGGGAAGGTGTATCAAGTGAATTTAAAACCTCAAATTTCTCTTACCTTTTGTCTTTTGTTTATTTTGTCCAGGTACACCTGAGACCAGGTGAATATGGCAACGAGCCGTACTCCTATGTTGGCAACAACATAGGAGAGAAGGTCAACAAGAACCTTTTCCTTGACCAAAGCCAGAGCCACCTCTACATTACCACAGAGAAAAGGGTGTGTGTGTATATTTAACACTTATTATACATTAAAATTCAGGCAGAGTACTTGCTGGTGCTAAGACTGAGCTCCACAAAGACTGTATTCATTTAAAAGAGAAAAAAATTGATCCAAAGCAAAAAATTATTCTGTGGGTACACTGAAAAAAAAAGTTCTTTCAATTTACTTGATTTTATTGTGTACATCGGTCCCACATAATATGAATAAGTATGACTGACTTAATTTTCCACTTTCCCTCAAGTAATTAATGCTTGTCACATCAAAGTATTTTATTTACATCGGATTACTTTAAAAAAATCATGTTTGATGTACTAATATTAATCTATTATCATAATATCAATGTATTGCATAATGTCAATATATTTTAATATTTAACACCAACTTATTTTTATTTGCCAGTGGTACGCAATGATATTATGTAATGTAAACACATTGCAAGTATGTTCTTGCAAGACAAATTATGGCTTTAAATCCTACTTAATTTTTTCAATTGAAATATTAACTGATCATTATTGACAAAAAAGGCAAAGACTGAGTGCTACTGAACAATACACCTTTATTAAACTGTAACAGCAGTGAAAGCAGCAATTCTGCCATGAACAAGTCCAAAATCGCATCCATATAAACTTGTTAACACATTTTTAAAGATAGCCCGCAGAACTAACTAAAAGAAAAAGTTAGTTTGAGAATATATTTGCAAATGTTTCACAAAAAACTGACCTTAGCAGCAAATAAAAGAAAGTGCTTATAGATGATCCTGTCATCTCTTACATATAACATTTGTATTAATTACACAATTGAAAATGTAAACTAAATTAAGACTACCTGAAAAAAAGCAACACGCTTTTATGAATAAACAGATTTACACAAATATAACTTGTGTGTTATTTGACAACAGTTTCAGCTTCTGTACAAGTATTTACCTGTACAAGATTTCAACTAAGTTGAGCCTTAAATGACATTGTTACATAACTAATACCAAACACCTACATGAATTTTAATATTCATTTTAAACATGTAAGCAGGACATTAAGGTTGATTTAGAACATATTGCTAAAAATCGTCAGTAAAAATTTCTTCCAACACGATACCAAAAGGAAAAATCATCCTGCATTGCAGTCACATGAGGGGAAAGCAATAAAAACATAAGCAGTATAACGTTACTGAACACAAAATGAAAAACTGCAAAGAATTGCAGAAGTGCAGTCTTTGACTTCTCAATGAAACAGATGGTTTTTTTAAAGCAAGAACTTTATAGAATTTAGCTCCATCCAGTTCCATGAAAACCTTCTGGAAAACATCAAAGTTGCGAAGGTCCGCAGGGTAGGCAAGGTTTAATGCATACATGAGTCCAAATAGCATTGTCACAATGTGGACTGATCCAATCTCATGGCCAACCAATGGATAAGTATCAAGGAGTTCACAGAGTGTATATTCTTGTGGATACTGGGCTGAGCTCAAAAGCTCTGTGGTGCTCTCTGTACCAGCCACCAAGCTCTCTGACAATGTAGAATATGCTGTGGTACAATGCAGATATGGTTTTTCAGTATTCTGGCAATCCACCTGCTGCCCTTTGGGCCAGTACCATTCCATTTCTATACGTTATGCCCTTTAATGTCACACACTGTGCAAGGTTGACCTCTAGAATGTCAGGGAATATGTACCTAATAATAATAAGCTATCTCCTCTTTAAGCAAATCCACTAGAAAGGCAGATACAGCTGAGACCTCTAATTCAGACTTGCCAAGAGATGGGGAGTTTAGATGGTAAGCTATCATCATCTGATGTTTTGACTTCTGTAATCATAAAGGTAAAAATTCCACCATCACAAAAAACATTTTAATTGAAAAAAGATATTCCAGTCCAGAAGAGCATCAATGGTTTCTTTAAAGTACCAATCTTTCTCTCATTTATACATAATGTTTTGAGAAGCAGCTCACATATGTTCTACACAAAGTAGAAAAAAAGCGGGGGAAAGGGTCCTAATTTTTGTTAGGACAATGTTGGAAAATTCACAATACATCACTTAATAAGACATACTCTGTTGAACAAACTTATCTCCTTGTAGATATCTGCTGTATTATTTGGGCTTAACCAATAGAATAGTCAAGTAAGTGACACTTCACCTAAAACAATGGCTAAATGGAAAAATGATTTGGCATTTATGGGCACAGGTAAAAACAACATTTAGTAACTTTAAATCAATGCAAGAAAAATGAGTAGTCTCAGTATTGTTTATAATCAAGTAAATAGTACTTTATTTAATCATGTAAATAAGAGAAACATGAAAGGCTTGTGTAGCATTAACTAAATTCATTTGTGCAAATTCAAAAGCCTCCCAATTCCCATTTTTTCAGTGTATGCACGGAGATATATAAAATCAAAATGATTTAGTCCGCTGTTTCATTAAGCTTTTTTAAGTTTGCGATTTCAGAAGTTTTGCTTTCATTATATTGACTCACATCTGTTTCTGCAGAGGGGGAAGAGTTTCTAATGTTGATGCTGTTAAACATTCAGATTTTATCTGAAAAATACTGATGTCTTGAAATAAGATCTAATGGATTGGCTTTTACATGTAAAAAAGAAAACAATTTCACCCTGGTTACAGTAAACATTCAGTGCTTTGTGTTGAATAAACTAAGTAATTAAACATGGGGAGAAGACACGAGAGACCCCACTCGCTCCCACTCTGCACACCTGCAACATACTAAGGAACATTTACAGCTACACTTTAAATACTTGTTATTTTTGTCCAGTGTCTCCCTTAAGGTGCACCTTTGATCATATTTCACGTTGTAATAATCCAGATCACCAAGGTGCCAGTGCAGACGTGCCTCGAAATGAAAGACTGCCAATCATGCGTGGGACTGAGGGACCCTTACTGTGGCTGGTGTGTTTTGGAGGGCAGGTGAGGATCACACACACACACGCACACACATAAGTACATTCTTGCATGCATTTACAAATGCATGCACACAACAACAGACTAACACAAACACCCACACATGCAATTCCATCTGTAAAACACAGCAGGATATTTGTTCAGTGTTTTATTGCAGACACTTTTAGACCTATTATATTTATAACAGTATATATTGAGACAGTTCATTTTATGACCAACAGTTACATTTCTTTATTATTTATATAATTTTATTAAAATAATTTTCTATTAATATCATTCCTGAAATGCTCACAACTGGGAAGTTGGAAAAAATATTATTTTTTATTACTTGCTTAAAGGTTATATGAGTTAAAAGTTGTCATATTATAAATATTAAATGTAGTTACCATTGAGGACCTTGCATGTTTTTCTTTTTGATACATAAATCTTTATTTTGTGCACAGACCCTGCTGGAAGTCACGTAGGCATTGAGTTGTTATTTACAAACTGACTTTTTGTGAAAGCATTCATGGCATGTGCAGCTCAGGCTGATGGGATTTTCTCATCCTTCGTCTGAAGGTGTACCAGGAGGTCTGAGTGCCGACGGGCAGAGGAGAAGAATGGCTGGTTGTGGAGCCCCAAGCAGCAGTGTGTCAAGATTGTATCCTTCTCTCCTTCAAACCTTTCCTGCAGAAAGACCGGCAAGGTACAGCTCTGTTTGTTCCTCACTCAAACTGTCTCTGACTTCCTTTGTTCTCTTTTATTGTCCCTCTTTTCTCTGCAGTACCTAACTTCACTTACATGCAGAGACTGAGTAATAAACTGGGAATCAAAGACCTCAAGCTCTAGGTCTTCCAGCTCTGTATTGATCCACCCAGAAAAATCCAAACTGTCTTATTATAACCTGCATGGCTGATTGTCTGAAGATGGAGAGCCTCTTCCTATTCCCCCATTTTTTACTTCTTCTGTGTTCCTGCCCGTCTGACTCACACATGAATTCCCATCAGCAGCATGTCACTCCTTTCTCTTTCTCAGTTTCTTTCTTTAAAAAGAGAAACAGTTTCTTTATTATAACTTTGGTTACACAGAGATACAAATTCAGTGAGATGTTACGGGCTAAGAAGCCACAGTTTCCAGTCAGTATGTTTTTGTCTGTCCAGGTGAACATCAATATTCCCTCCCTTCCTACCATTGGACACTCTGACCGTCTGCAATGCAAGATTGAGTCTTTCCAGAGTAACGGCATCATGTCAGACTCTGGTGAGGTCTCCTGTGATCTGCCCCAGCCTGGGCTTATACCGAAAACACCTGAGGGCCAAGGTATGGTCTCTTTAATTACCCTGCCATGTTTCTGTCGTCTTTAAGGTCTAATGTCTGTGCTTCTCCATGATGGTTAACGCTGCATTACTAACTGGCCAAGGTGGGAAATGGGCTGAAAAAAACACGAGGTTAAGTTAATGTCAGCTGGCAAATTCTCCATCATTTTGTTGAAGAACTTACAGTGTCCAACAAATTTGCACCAGAAAATTGCACGAAATCAACACACTAATCTAATTTAAGCTTTATTATTTCAGTTTATAGTTTTTTGTATCAGTAGTCAGCAAACATCTTGCCCAAAACAAAGTGAGTCCCATAAAAAAAAGTCCTTTATAAAACAAAACATGGAACTTTTTTTAAATACAGCTCAAGTTTTGGCTTTTATACACTAATATGCAGTTCAGGCAGTTAAATAATCACTGAACTGATTCTGAGGAGATTTATCAAAATATTTAATCGCTCTGTTTTTTGTCTTTAAATGTACAAGCATACTTCACATCTTTTATATAAAACTTGTATTCACATAAACAGCTAGTGTATCACATTTTAACCACTGTTTTACTGTATCTTCAGACTTTGTGGCCGTGGCTATCAGGATCTTTGTGAATGAGACTGTGGAGTTGGCCACGCGGGAATTCATGTTCTACAACTGTGCTGCCACAGTGAGGAAATCTGAAAACACACCGTGAGTCAGGCTGTTAATCTTTCAGTTCTGCTCTGTCACTCAGTGAAAATACACAGTGACATGGAACACAGCATCATCTGACAACCTTGATGTAAATGTATCACCGTGCATGAGCAGATGAGAGATCAAGGCTCTGTTTGTAAATTGTGATGCATGGTGGTTTTGAATGCACCTCTTGCATTTTCACTCCTGCTTCTATTACCAAGCCGAGGAAATTGCCTCAGTTTCTTTTTCATTAATCAAAAAAAGAAAGTCGATCCTGGCTGTTTTTTTTCCCCTCATTTTTTTCTGCATTTCTTTCACACAGAGGAACGTGTGATGAACGAGCTTTGCTTATGTGAAGTTGCAGAGATCCATTTCATTGTCAGCAACATAGATTTTTGTGCCGGACGCTCTCTTATGAGTTTGCATGTTTTAGATGTTGTTTGTGTGTGCTTTTGTGTGTGCATGCTCTACCCTGATTGTGCATGTGAAAGTATTTCCTTATCCAAGTTGGTCCATATTTCTGTGTTTTCAGGTGCATGTCATGTGTAAGCAGTCAGTGGGGATGTCAGTGGAACACGCAGGACCACACCTGCAGCGATGCGGACAACAGCGTGGTTGTTTCCCACATCATCAAGCACCGTCAGGTTAGTTCTTTCTGACAGGTCAAGGACTCTTTTCTGTCATGTATGTGTGTGATAGATGTGGAGAACGACTATAGCACAAGTTTTAAAGGACACATCTAAACTTTACATGTGATTCACCGCTTGAGTGGTCCAAACTCCTCCTGAAAAATTAATAAATACACAAATCCCACTATCAGCTGCCACCATCTTGCATGACAAACGTTGCAGGGTGGAGGATATCAGATTCCACATCAGCGGATGTTTCAGCGATATAGTTATCTGTCGCCACAGATGAGGGCGTCCGTTAAGTGGTTAGGATGTTTAAAATGTAAATTATTAAAGTATCTAATTTGTTTTCATTCTGTTTCAGAGCGCAAACTGTCCTCGGTTCGAGAATCCAGATCCTGTGCTCATCCCTGTGGGCTACAAGACTCGAATCAGCTTTGAAGGCATAAATCTGAAACATTACCAGGTAAACTGGCCCCACTCCACCCCCAACATGCATCTGAGTTCCAGGGAAAGAAACACTCTCTTTCTGTTTGTGGATTTCCCTTGGACAGGAGGAAAAAAAAAAAAAAAAAAAAAAAAAAAAGGGTCGATTTTTAGGCTAAAAGAAAGGAGAATGAGCCAAACTTGTTTCTTTTTTTTCTACTCTTGCATCTGTTAATGAGGGGTTTTAAATTGGCTATAGGTGTAAGTGTCAGACTGTATGGTCGCGTTTCTCCTGCAATTGAAACCTCTACAAGTTGTATCCTACTTCCTGTCCCATGACAGCTGGGATTGGCTTCAGTCCTCCCACTAATCCCCGCTGTGTAGGATAGGGAATTAAGAAAATAAAGTAATGCATCTGTATGATTTCACAGAGATGGGGTCCCCCATATCAGGTGTACAGTTCTGGCTGTAAGCGATGATACGGCACTCTTACCAACTATTTAAATGTTGCAATTAGAAAGAAAAAAAAGTAGCTTAAAAGGGAGTGAAAGGAAGCAAAAATAAATACATTTTTTTTTTTAAAATGGCTCGTTTAGACACACGGGACCGAGTGGTCTGTAATGAACTGAACTCACGCGCAGAAACCCAGAACAGAGACAGCAGATGGTTTAAGGCTTAAGCTCTGGAAACGTGGCAAGGACAAAAGCAATAAAACGTGGCGAGGGGAATGCAGAACTGGGGCGAGGGAATGGGGCCTGAGATGCTGACTGGAGCTGGGCAGGAAACAATCACACTGAAGAGAGAAGACAGTGGAGTTAGGGAGGTAGTGGAAGTAGCCCTGAAGTGGTAAGCAGTTAAGTATAGCAATTCTTACTTGCAGTAGGTGGAAACAGAGAGTTGAGATGGGGTGAGCCAAGATGAATCCAGAAAATGAGTTGATGACAAACTCAGCGTGTGGCTTAAATCACTCTGGCTTGATTGCCTGCAACTGGCTCCAGGTGTGCAGGAGCTGGAGGAGGTGGCCCTGCCCAGGGGCAGATCACAGGTAGGTTCAGGAGCCTCATAAAGCTAACCACCGCGGACCATGACAGAATGAACTTTGGGGGCCACACCAAAGTCCAATATAAGATAAATAAGGATTATTTTGTCTGTGAATCATGCAAAGCTACTCTGGTAAAGTTTTGGAAATGGAAGTAATGACAATAGTTCCCCTTTAAGACTGGAGTGTTCTGCTGGAAGAGGGCTTAAAACGCACTTTTTACCATTCAACCATAGCGAACAGGTGTGAGGACACCCAACTTTGTGAACAGAATTACTCAAAAAATCTTGTGAATACAATAACTCAAGACGGACGTCTCCTTGGATGTTTAAACTTACCATAGGCAAATCAAGGAAGTTAAGGGGTGGGTGGCACTGGGGACCGTCAGTATTTTTGTTTTTGTCATGATTATGCAGAGTATCTTTCCACATGAATAACATTACAAATCCCAATTCTTACTATCAGACAGCAATATAAGCTGTAACAGTTCACTTAGTTGTCACACAAAATACATCTTGATCATTTTCTTTGAATGTGTGAGTTCTGATGGACTTTATTGGTGCAGGTTCCCGGGGATCCATTCATGTTTCATCAATCAAGGTTTTGACAGCTGATTGAAGCTGATGAAGCATTGACATATATTTTTCCTTCCTATAATAGCCCGACGGGCAGGGCAGAGATAGATTTTGGTAGCCCGACTGGAAAAATCGCTAGCCCCGGGACCTCGGGCTAGCGATTTTGCAAGCCCTGTATCTGATTGAGGAATCACTCATCTTTGGAAAAGAGAGTTTATTACAGAGAAATGGCTCTTTCCAAAATAAAAGCTATACTATACGCTTCTTCTGGGCTATATTCTCAGCAGCATATTGTAGCGGGTCAGGGCTGTTCGGGGTTCTGTTTGTACAGTTATGTTTTGTTTATGTTGCCATAGTGACGGGTGACGCCCTCTCGCTGCGACGTTGTGTCTTTCCGGGGTCAGAGGGCGCCCTGTGTGTTGGTGTTGTTGTTGTTGCTGTGCGGTTGCTGCGCTGAGCAGTTAGCTAGCGGCAGTGTTCTTCTGCAGATGTCAATAAACGGCTGTGCTCCCTGGCTAGCAAGACCAAACGACACCTCCGTCTCCTCGTTGTCTGAGCTCGCCACATTGGTGTCAGAAGTGGGATGATAGTGGCACCCCATGTTCTGACCCGAGTGACTTTTCCCCCGCCGGTCGTGACCGGCCGGTGCGCCAAAAGAAGGCACCTGGACATTTGCAAAGTGAAAGCAAAAAAACAAGCGCAAATTCAAACGCGATTTTAATATGTCACATATTGACAGTGGCTCACCGATGCCAATGACATAATTACCCAGCTACATTTCCGAAAGAATGCAAAAGCATTGACATATATTTTTCCTTCCTACAATAGCCCGACGGGCAGGGCAGAGATAGATTTTGGTAGCCCGACTGGAAAAATCGCTAGCCCCGGGACGTCGGGCTAGCGATTTTGCAAGACCTGTGTTACAGGCATGGCCCTTTAAGGATGAAGCCTGATGGGAAATGTATTCGGGATGTGTGTAGCGGGACTGCCTGGTGTGTGTGTGAAGAGAGAGAGCGGAGAAGGGGGAAAGTAACGGTTAGCTACAGAAGAGACGAAAATAAAATAAAAGGAATATAATAACTCCCTCGACAGCCAGAGTTGTGTCGGCGATGCTCGCTGTGAGTAAACTGTTTCAGCCCATTGTACGCGGTGTTCGTGCCTTAGAGAAGAAATAAAGTTCGGTGAAGCAGTTTCCTACGCCTCCTTCGATCTTTTTGCTAGCGGAGTTGACCTGTATAGTAAGCTGTTGCCGGCTACGAGTCAGTTACAGAACCTTCAAGTAACTGCCAGAGGTTTCCTTACTACGGTTCGGGGCCGCGGATCTGGCGCGGTAACACCTGTATCTGATTGAGGAAACACTCATCTTTGGAAAAGAGAGTTTATTACAGAGAAATGGCTCTTTCCAAAATAAAAGCTATACTATACGCTTCTTCTGGGCTATATTCTCAGCAGCATATTGTAGCGGGTCAGGGCTGTTCGGGGTTCTGTTTGTACAGTTATGTTTTGTTTATGCTGCCATAGTGACGGGTGACGCCCTCTCGCTGCGACGGTGTGTCCTTCCGGGGTCAGAGGGCGCCCTGTGTGTTGTTGTTGTTGTTGTTGCTGTGCGGTTGCCGCGCTGAGCAGTTACTTAGCGGCAGTGTTCTTCTGCAGATGTCAATAAACGGCTGTGCTCCCTGGCTAGCTCACGGGAAGCAAGACCAAACGACACTTCCGTCTCCTCGTTGTCTGAGCTCGCCACATTGGTGTCAGAAGTGGGATGATGGTGGCACCCCATGTTCTGACCCGAGTGACTTTTCCCCCGCCGGGGCCCGTTCTTCGTACCTCGCTAAGTAAGTTAGCTGGATTTGATTGTTGACGATTTCGCGTGATCTTGGATCGTTCGGTTCCCCAAAGCTCATCCGGGACTTGCTGTCATAGCAACAGAGCCGTAAGCGTAAACCTGCTCGGGAGCAGGTTTACTTTATGTAAACAGGATTAGATCGCGGCCACGCAGGTATGTCCGCTTCATTTATACGAAAGCAACAGCGATATTCCACCACTGTTTCACCATAAATAAATAACATCAATGTAACCAAAGATAATGCAGCACTTGATCCTTTTATTGATTTCACACAGATACATACAGGTCATTTCCTAAAAAAGGGAAATGTGCTATTAACATTCTATTACATGTATGTGATTATTACAGATGTAAGTCATATTTCAGAGTAGTAATAGTAAATTACTTCGTGTAAGCAAGATGAGAGACCACGGCTATAAAAGCGAAGGTGGATTTGGGAAGCCTGTCGCAGCCATGTCCTGTCCGTTTACGCGAGAAACCCATTGCGGAAGGTGCAAGATTGATAAGGAGAGTCCTCAGAATCCAGCGTATATTGCGGGACAGACAGGATCCTTTAGCTCAGCGCGACAGTGTGCTCATAGAGAGATATCGATTTTCCCGTGAGGATATTATTTACTTAACCAACTTGTTGACGAGGGGGTGCAGGACCACCACCTGTCTTTTTTTGCTCTGCCCTTTTCTTGGTTGCTGTTATGAACAAACAAACAGATTATTTCAGGGTTTCTTTGCAAGAGACTAAAAGCAATATAAGTGATAAATATTACCATTCTGTAGCATATTCTCATATTTCACTTTTACTTGTTCCCATGTTCTAGTGGGTCCTGATGTGGCTCTAATGTGAAAGGGGATATAATATAACATATTATAATATAATATAATGTAATATAATATTGGATAATATAGTGTGATATGATAAATCTACCCTACCGCCTACTGGTGTTGGCCAGAGGGGCCGATGGCGCGATATGGCAGCCTGGCTTCTGTCAGTCTGCCCCAGGGCAGCTGTGGCTACAACTGTAGCTGCCTCCACCAGTGTGTGAATGTGAGAGTGAATGAATAGTGGCATTGTCATGCGCTTTGGGTGCCTTGAAAAGCGCTATATAAATCAACTCTATTATTATTATTATTATTATTATTATTATTATTATTATTATTATTATTAATATTATTATTAAATTACTTACGAGTTTAATTTGTCAGCAACTTTCTGCCAGCCCTCTCTCCTTGCTTTTGCAGCCTTTGCAGTGTTCCCTTGCGTTTTAATTAAACTCTGAAACTCCTGAAATCCCTCACTCAAGAGTTCTTGCTCTGCTGCCGAAAAATACCGAGCGCGCTCCTTCGACATTTTCGCCGACCAATCAGAGGGTTTCCGATCAATGTTTCTACTATCGATGCGTAGCCCCTTTTACGACACCCAGTGATCTCACATTACTTCATCCAGCTGTACTAATCGTCAACAGCAGGTGTGTTCGGAGAACCGGATTAGCGAGCTCACGGTTAGCGCGATGATTTGGTCTTGGATGTGTCATTTGATCTTGGATGTGTCATTTGATCTTGGATGTAGTAAGCGACGTACGAAGAACGGGCCCCCGGTCGTGACCGGCCGGTGCGCCAAAAGAAGGCACCTGGACATTTGCAGGACTTTGTGTGGGGTAATGGGGTCGTCGGGGACGACTGACCCCTTAGGTGGGGGCTATGTAGCGGGTCAGCGCTGTTCGGGGTTCTGTTTGTACAGTAATGTTTTGTTTATGTTGCCATAGTGACGGGTGACGCCTTCTCGCTGCGACGGTGTGTCCTTCCGGGGTCAGAGGGCGCTCTGCGTGTTGTTGTTGCTGTGCGGTTGCCACGCTGAGCAGTTAGCTAGCGCAGTGTTCTTCTGCAGATGTCAATAAACGGCTGTGCTCCCTGGCTAGCTCACGGGAAGCAAGACCAAACAATACCTCCGTCTCCTCCTTGTCTGAGCTCGCCACAATATTAAACATATCAGGTCCCCATAAGGAGAATCATGTGCTAACGGCTGTCTAAATGACTCGGGTAAAGTTTGTAGCATGCATGCTTGTTGTTTTTGTCTGCTTCCACTTGTCTTTGCACTAGGATGATGTCGGCGTAAATGTGCAGTCATATTCGTTGTGTTCCCACTAGTGCTGTCAGCGTTAATCTCGTTGAAATGACGTTAACGCCACAACACGGCAAATCTCCGTTAACGAGCTACCCCTGCATGGGGCTAGACGGCCAACATGTTAACGAGCTAACTGAGCTAACACACTAGTTCCCACCCATGTAATTGAGCATTGCATGGCACATCCAACATACTGTTTTACTTTAGTCCATGACGCGCTTACCTTCAGGGTCATACATCACACGAAAACGTCTGTGAAGGTTCTCAGTCATCCAGGTCATCGTAGTCAAAAGAGCTTGCAAAGAAAAGCGTCTGGACTTCTTTCCAAGACAAGATTCCAAGACACAAGAAGTGGAATCCTTCACTGCACACATTAACGCTGTGGATAAGAACATCAAGTTCACCAGGGAAGACACAAAGGACAACTGTCTGCCTTTCCTGGACTGCGCTGTGCACATTGAAGAGAACGGCAAACTCAACATCGAAGTTT